TGATCGAGATATCGATCCGATATCTCTGCCTAAAATTGACTTTGCACAGTTCATTGTACTTTCATTTTTGAAAATCTATCGCACACCTTCTTCGACTCGCTCTGTACCCTTTTCGCCCACCCTCGTCCACTCTTTTCTCGCTGCATGTGCCAATGCGTTTCTTGGATTTCTGTTGATTTTTCCTAATGCTCGTACACGTTATAAGTTGTTGATCAAATAAAACGAATCGCTCGACCGACTGACTGGCAATGTGGAGTAGCCTCCGCTGCTATCGCTACCGCTCCTACACCCACACACTGGCACGCCTCCACCAAAGCTACTTCGAATCCGAATCCGACTCCGTCAACGATGCAGTTGTCGTTGCCGTTGCCGTTTCCGTTGCCGTCGCGTCTTCAAATCGCAAATTAAAGATAATTCAAACGAGTCCAATCGTGCCGTGTCGTCGAAACGCGCGCCTCCTTTAAAGCTGTTGTTTATTTATTTAATTATACTTCTTTTTTTTGGTTGAGCTCTACCCGAACTTATTTTCAGTATTCAGTTTTGGCTAAGAATTAGCTAAATGCAAACGCCTCTTGAAGGTTTTGGGCTGCGTGTCAGGAGTGCATTTGCACTGAAACATTCTGAAGCTTGTAAATGCACTATCTGGTACGACATTCCATAACGTACAATCTTCCCGAATGCAAGAAAATGCTGAAACAGGAACACGATCGATTTAACTTTGATCGCGTCGAGACAATATGCAATTTTTGTGAGAGTGTGTTTTCTAAACTGACTTTTTTCGTTCTAAGAAGTAGTTTCAATATCGTTAAGTTTGTAAGTTAATCACTTAAGCTAAAAATATTGTACTTTAATAAAAAAATTCAAATAAAGAACAACAAATAAATAAACTTTTCTGTGATATTTGGTTTTATTTCTAACTTTTAGGACCTGCAATTTTTTGTACAAATAAATCGTCTAGGAGAATTATTGAAAACTATAAATATACATTTATAAGAAATATAACAAATATGTAATTTTGAATAAAATAAATTCATAAACTAATGATTACGCCGGTTAGCTAAAGAGTTGGTTGAAACAGATTGATCTACAAACTGCAAAACTTTTAAATACATGCCAGAAAATTGGGTCACCAATCACAAGTTTGACTTCAAATTCAATAAAATTACCTTAGCAACCTTTCATACATATATAATGGTAGTTAAATGCCTATATGTGTTAGAAAAACATATTTAGTGCTTTTGACCGACTTAATGGTACCCCAATGACCTTGAATGTTATAATTGAGGTGTCCACGGAACTCATGGGACACCGCATTGCCTTCTCTTTACTACTTGCTCTGCCATTCACTTAAAATTTTCTAAACGATTGCCTAAATATGTATGTATATTTGAATCGTTATTACATGCCTAGCCGAAATAATAGTATGAACTAAATATATGGAATGCTTGTTCTTGTTCACGCGAATTTTTCAGGTGGCCGTGTCAAGGTTGCGTATGAACAACAACAACATAACTAAGCCTTGACAGAATAGGGACTGGCATGTGCGCTAACTGTGCAATATTTCCGATAAAACGTTCAGTTCTCCCAAGTATTTACCGATTTTCACCGAAACTATAATGTTGCAATAGTTTGAATTTAATTGTCTCTGAAAGGTGGCAAGAAAGGCAGCGCTGCCAGACCTAACAAATAAAAATCAAACCATATTCACTTATTATTAACTAGGATTAATGTACTTTTAAGACTAATTATGATCAATTACTCATCTTAATAGAAGTATTGCACCTAGGGGTGTGCTTTTTTTTATTTAAAAGCTATTTTAAAACATAAAAATACGAAATTCTTATTTCAAATGCTGAACTATGAAAGACCAAGCACCATAGCATAAAACACAGCATTCATGAAAATCAGCTGACCAGCTTCAACTAAAATACGTCAGATGGCGCCCATCAAATATTGGCGCCCGCCATGCTAATGCATACACATGTACATATGCATCTGTGTATGTTAAGAAGCTCTCGGAGTGGGCACGATTCAAAAATTGCAACCAAATCCATTGGCTATGCGCTTTGGCAGTGTGGTTAGCTGGTTGTGTGGCCAAAAGTTGCAGTCTGACAATTCACAGCCACTATCTTCACTGCCGCCGCGAAAAGCTATGACAACAAAGGTATGAGGTTTGCCGGAGCTCCCGTAACCTGCCATTCACAATAGGCCATACGAAGCGCCAAAGCCATTAATCTAATCAAATTTCGAAGGACAATAACCACCTATAGTAAAAACAAATACATATATCCTAATGTGTCCGCACTATCCAATCAAAACATAAGCCTTGGCCAGTTTAAAATTAATGTGCTTCCCTTAGACTTTGGAATTGATATAAATACATATGTATGTATATACATTTAGTATGTTTGTACTGTACAACTTTTCTAACGATCGACCAATAGATTGGACGCCTCTAAACAACAGCTTCGTGGACACACAGATATGTATGTAGACAGACTTTAATTTGCATATAAAGATGTAAATAAGCACATACCTTTGTATAAACTACTTACATATGTATTATACATATGTACATGTATTAAGAAGTTCAACTACTCATAACTTCTAAAGAGAATAAGCATAATCCTCATTTAAGAGTTTTAAATGCATAGGTACGGCCTATATGTAATTAAACATTTTAGTGAATAGTCCAGTCATACGGATCGATTAAATGTTCGAAATAAAAATGGTGCAAAGAATCAACTCACCAAAATATACGAGAACAGAAAGTATAATAACTATTTTAAAACAATAAAATGTTTTATACAACAACTCTTTTTATGTGATATCTTGAACTGACTTCATGTCTATATCCGAACATAGCTATTCGAATTTGTCTTGTCATGCTGATCGTAGATGTACATGTCTATGTATGTATCTGTAACATGAGAGGTACAATTCTACTTTAAGAGTATAACAGCCTGCAAAACAATAAAATCAACTCCCGTTGCCTAGGGACTAGCAGAATCTGCCCAGAATATAACCAGAATAATGCAATAATGAATAGTGAAGCTTAAGCCAGAGAGAAGATGTGCTCTGTTACGTTTCTTGTTCAGTATTAACGTTTATTTATACTTATACTTCAATTTATTTTGTCAGGATTAATGGTTTTCATGGGGGCAATAGTAATAGTAGTAGTAATCCCCTCCACCCGGTATACGATAATAACATTGGCTTAACACTCGGATGATTGATAACTTCTTATCGCTTTTGTATTTGTATGAATTGCTGCGGTATATATTTAAATATATAGTTCTAGTTTGCAGAACATGATATTATACAAAGACATTTTCCAATTACCAAAAATTTTGCTGTGTAAATGAATCAAAATAAATGCAAAATACCACTTATTATATGTATATGGCGTTTTATTATTGATAATTACGATTATTACAAGAAGCCAATAGTGGAAAATGTTTAGATTCTATGGAATTATTATACTGTATATTATGGCTGTACGTATCTTTTGACATCGGATGATAAGTGAATTAATAACTGTTCCCTTCATGTTGGGAGAAGCTAGTGGTTTAGCCAATAGTTTTTTATACATATAGGCAAGGGCGTACAAATAAACTTGACCTGCCTAGGGCTCAGGGGAACCTCGGCTTGTCACCCTGATCAAGAATATATATACTTTGTGGGGTCTGCCACGCCTCCTTCTCCCTGTTACATACATTCGCACAAAACTAGTATAGACTTTCACCTTTTGGGTACAGGCTGTAAAAATTTTAGGTAAGAAAATAACACTGAAGAAGTAGGTCATTATATTATACGATTACATCACTAGGGAAGAATAGGTCTGCGAAGTAACTTCCGGGTTATGTTTACAATATTGTAATGGCTTACGGTCTACAAAGGGTCAAAGAACACTATATACATGCTTAAATATAGAACATTATATATATGCAGGACATAGATATGTATATATAGCTACTACAAGCGTACAATGAGTTAACGATATCAGGCAGCCTCCTGTTAACATATTGGATAAAAACTTCAAACACCCGGTTCATAAAGGCAACTGTTGGAATATCAGTTTTTATACTCTGTACATGAAATGTACATACAAAAGTATACTAGGTTTGCGGGTGGTGAAAAATGTAACAGGCAGAAGGAGGCATGGCAGTCCCCACAAATTATATATATTCTTGATCAGCATGACAAGACGAGTTGATATAGCCCTGTCTGTCTGTCTGTCAGTCCGATCTTCCATTCGTATAATCGCCTATATCTCGGAGACTATATGACCTAGGGACACCAAGTCCCAGTCCCAGATGACTATACACCCTTTACGTGATAAACCCTTTACGCGAGTTCGAATACCGAGAGAGGTAAAATCGATTAAATTTTTTTTTTATTTTCTTAATTTTTTTTATTTTCTATAATTATTGTAAACATATGTACAGAGTATTTCAAAGTTGGGACACCCGACTTTAGCTTTTTTACTTGTTTTTTTTTTGTTTTTTTTTTTTGAGGCAGAGTCGAGGAACAGAAAATGTAAGTAAATCTAACATTGAATAAAATTCAGAATGATAAATGATAGAGTACAGTGAAAACTCATTTGGGCGGACACTCGCGGTCGGCCAATTTTTGTCCGCCCAAGAGGAGTGTCCGTTTAAAGGGATTCTTAAATACTTTATACACCGATCGAATTTTTCAGAAAAAGTGTCTGCCGAAGAGAGTGTCCGGATAAGAGAGGTGTCCATTAAGGGAGTTTTTACTGTATCTAGCAAATTATAGTTACGGTCAAACGAAAGTACGCAACTTAGAACTAGACCGAAGAAGCCTGAAAGATACCTCGAAAATACATTGTCAGATTGTCACACCAACTCATGTTTCTGAACTTCTTTACAGCACGTTATGAAGGAACTCACTTATATTTATAAGTATTACTTGTATATTATTTTGTTTTCTTTGAAATTGTATCGATCAATAATAGTCCACCGTTCCCATTTCAGGGTCGCGTGCCTTCATCAGACAACTAGAATTCTCGGATCTACCATTTGAAGATTACGCGATGCAGTAGTCCTAAGAAAATATTAAATTAGAAATAAGAAAATTATGTTCATATATGTAAATGTATTTTTTCTTAAAGATATTAGATGCAATAAACTATTACTCTTAGTTGAAAGAACTTTGGTTATTGTGCCATATTTTGTGTTTTGCCAGCTGACAACTGGCCAAAAACCTTTTCGATAAATTTTTTCTGACCACCCAGATACATTCTGCTGGTTAAACGAAATGTTACAAATAATCGTATACTTGCAATAGGGAAATAATACAAAACGATCAACGGGACCTTTGCATAGCTGAGCGTAACCAAGTCTTGCTTGCCTAAATTTATTAAACTTGTTTTAAAAGCTTTGAAAGGTCAATAACATTTTAAATTAATAATGTTATTTTGAATAGTATGCGGTGAGTACTTAGCGATCTTGTTTGCATTTTCTCAATGGTTTTTATATAGCTCCAGTAGTTAATGTGGTTCAGACGCTACATCTGCTTCAAGACATAGATGCTAGATACATCACTACAGACATCAGAACGATACAGAACGACCATCCCAATTGCAGAGCTTTGCTGCCCTGGTTTCGCATCGTCTTTTACTCCCTAGTATTTAATCTTACATTTCTTATTTTGTAGAAATCAAGTTTATACTCTCGCTACGTCCATGGACAAATTTAACATATATGCTAAATAAAACAATTCAATTCTATTATGTTTCATTCTACAAAGCCTCGCCTGCCTAGTCGACAAAGGAGAAGCCAAGGCAACAGCGGAGTTTGTTCCATACCCGACTGACCTCCTTTAGATTAGCCCATACAAACCATCTCAACACTGCAGGGGATCAATTATAGATGAAGAAAGTAACGTAATTGTATAATAATATTTTATAATATAATAATGACACAATTTTTGGATCGATTAATACTTCTTGGGTATTTGAACTCACGTAAAATCGAATAATCAAAATATATGTATACGACATATATGTATTGGAAACCACAAAAATGCACAAAATATGCATAAATAAAAAATACTTCACCTAAAACAACTACGCGAAAAAAATGTAATAAACCTACCATGTACTTTAGCTCTAATCTATTACCAGAGAGCTATTTTTATACCCTGTACCCAAAGGGTGAAAGGGTATACTAGTTTTATGCGAATGTATGTAACAGACAGAAGGAGGCGTGGCAGACCCCACAAAGTATATATATTCTTGATCAGGGTGACAAGCCGAGTCGATATAGCCATATCCGTCTGTCCGTCCGTCTGTATGAAAGAAAGGATCTCAGAAAGTATAAGAGCTAGAATTTTGGTATCTAGATTCTCCTAAGGACGAGTTTGTGTTTTTTCTGATTCACGATGATTTTGATGAATCATGATGATTTTGAAATTTCAAACTAAAATTTGGTAAATACATCCAGTTAGTGATAATGTGTCCGTATGTTAAGTTTCATGATTGGTCAATTCTGAAGGAAGTTTTAGCCATAAATAAAATAGCTGCCCTTGCTCTGTCCGCTGCTGTTGTTGTTGTTGCTGCTTTGGTTCAATTTTGAGCTGCATACATATACGCATATAAACACGCAGAGACACGATTCTGATGTAAGTTTATTCTTTTGAAATTTTACATAAACACTTATGTATGTGTTGAATTATATTAATGTGTTGAACATTTTAATTTAATTAAGTAAACTTTTTAAATAATTTTTTTTTTTTAATTTCCCTTTTTTGTGGAGAGTAGAGGGTATTTTACTGACGGGCTTGCTCGACTGTAGCGTTCTCTCCTGTTTTCCCGTTACTTGATTGTTGTTCATCCTCGATTTCCCAAATATTTTCATAGCAAAATAATGCAGACTTTTCTCTAACTGCATTGCACAAAAATCGAAGACCAATGTGTATTTTGACGATATATAACCCAAAATAAATCATGCTACCATTTCTTACAGCTGAAAAGGCATGGAACATTTGCCATAACTGTGATATAATGCGTGATGAAAACAAAAGGACATAGATTTGGTTGGTGCCTAAAAAGAATCCGAAGTTGGCACATTGGGCACACTGAGCGTCAAAACATGAAGTGACTAAATGTTTAAATGGGAATTAAAATGATTTTATTCAAAGATAACAGTTCTGTTAATATAGTAATATTAATAGTTTTAATTAAAAGAATGGTCTATGTTGAACTGAAAGAAGTAAGCATGGATGTGTATACGGGAAGCCAATAATATTATTTGTTCTTAAATCTAACATATTAACATTAATTTAGCATATCTAAGTACCTGTACTATTTAACATTTGTATAACTAACAAGCCCCTTTTCGAAAGGCCCCTGCATATCCATCTGTCCATCCGTCTGTCTATCGTATTACATCGAAACCATTTCAGCTTGGGTACCTGTACGTACTAAAGTAGGTTTGTATAAGATTTGTGGAAAATAAAAGAACGAAGAAAGAATCTCCGTTCCCATAAAGTATATATTTTCTTAATCAGCATTAGGAGACAAATCGATCTAGATAGTTACATTCGTCCGTCTGTCCGTCTATATGATCGCCTGGATTTAGCCTTTTAATAATACATATATCTGAGAAAACATTTTATTAAACGAAAAATGAAGTTTCATCCTAATCGGTCATCTAAAGCAATTGTCCTTTCTCGGTCTCAGGAGAATCTGTATACCAAGTTTGGTTATTCTAGCTCTTATACTTTCGGAGATCCTTGCGTTCATACAGACAGACAGACGGACAAACGGACATGGCTATATCGACTCGGCTTGTCATGCTGATCAAGAATATATATACTTTGTGGGGTCTACCAAGCCTCCTTCTGTGTGTTCCATGTGCACTCGCACAAAACTAATATACCCTTGTACCCTTTGGGTACAGGGTATAAAAACAATTTCATTTTTTATCTAATGTTTTAATTCTGAAATTAATTAGAGATAATCAACAAACCAAATAATTTTACACAACGAATAAATTTCCTTTTCGACCTGACTTCTCTAGTTCTACATTGAGGACGTAAGAACCATTTGTTACCTAAACCAAACTTTGCACACATAATTTATAATAATAATAATCTACTGTTGTTTAAAATTTTATTCAATTCTGTCAATTCTAAGAAACGTTATTAGCGAAACAAATTCTCTACAGTACAACCCCCACAAACTGCAGCAACAAGTTCGCTCTTCTTCTTCCTCTTTTTGCTGCTCCTTTGGGCGTATATAACTCAGTGACGGAAGTTTACCTGGGTACAGGGTATTACACTGTCGGGCTTGCTCGACTGTAGCGTTCTCTCTTGTTTACCCTGTACCCAGATAAAACATATGCTAGTAGTGTATTGCAGTGTAGAGAACCATGTTTTCCAGACAGCCATTTGGATTTTCTTTTACTTTTCGCATAAAGCCGCTCTTCCAGATCCGTCCAAATTTTGTTGGGAGCTTATTAGCCCTCATCGGCCAACAGATTTTCGTTTTTTTTCTAGCATTCAATGATACCCTGCACCGTAGAGCAACTCACACCTACGAGCTCAGTTATTTTTCGTTGACTCATTCCATTTTTATAATGGATGAGCAATATTTTCCGTCGCTATACGACGACCCAGTACAAAAATGCCGATTTAAATTTTTGTAAAAAAAAGCAGGGACTGTAATCATTATGTGATACTATATAAACTACAAAATAATGATTACTTTTTCATTTTATTCATTATCTGGCAATACAATGATTAATTATGAGTTATAATTTACAACAATAATCATTATTTTGGAGCAAAAATATAAAAATCATAAAATAATAAGTTTTATTTTTTATTCAAAAATAAACGTCAAGTTGTATATTTTCCTTATTCGTAGAGAATGAGGACAAAATTATATAGTATATAGTATTCTTGAACTAAGGAAACTACGTGAAAAAAAAAAATTACAGCATATTGTCAGAACTCAAGAAAAATAATTTGTTTTCGATTCACCATTCCGTTTTGTTATAAGAAGGAGCAATGCTAGAAAATTCTTAAACACGCTCAATTTATTTGAAATAAATAGATACAAATCTGCGTTTAAATAATGTTAAACAATCTGTGAGTCAATGTACATTTCATTTTATTTGTTTCAATCAACAAGCATTGTGAGAGTTTAGAGAGACTGGAAGATACCAAAATATGTCATTCAGAGTGCCGTACGATGGGTTGGTCTTCCATGGACCTCCTTCCCTTTATACCATCCGCTTACAATTTAATGCCTTGACCGCCGATCTCGTCGAAAGCCAAAATTACAACACAACCCTTTGATCATTTCCACCACCACTCACATTTCTACGAAATTATTTAAATTATCCCGTTATGCATGTAATATTTTAAACATATTTTTACTAATAATAATATTATAGATAATACAACTTTCTAATGAACGTATATGTACCTGTACATGGAAGCATGGTTAATTTTTTTAATGGCCTTTGCTTTAGACAATGATTGACTTTTAATTTCAAGATTACCCCATTCCAATAGAATTTCGGAATTTAATTCCTCATTATTTGCAACTACCTGTTTTGTATTTGTATTAAATGATTTTAAATAAGGTCCCAAAATTGATTTTAATTTGGTGAACGAGATAGCGCTGAAGAAACAACAGAGAGCTGTTTTCTGAAATCCTTGAGTGTTTGGTCAACTCCCGTAGAGCCAGTTCAAATGCCCTTTTTTGACGAATTAGTACTTTTGCTTAGAGATGTTAACTTTACCATCACATTCAGATATCGTTTAAAAGCTGCCCTATTCAATTTCATAATTATTGCGGTATTTTAAGATGCACGTATTCCGTATTTTCAAGTCAATGTTTAAGCCAGAAGTCCAACAATTTTAGGAAAGAACGAAAGGCCAACTCCAACTCCGCTATACTGCCGGTCCAAACAATAAGTTTATTTAAGGAGCTATGAAAATAGTAGCTTTAGCCATCGAGCACTTCAAATGAACTTTTATTTTCTGAGAACACCAAAAAATAACCGAATCCAAATCACAAACTATTGTCTTAAATTAAAGTTAAATAACAGTAAACGCTATATTTGATCATTTCTATGGGAGTAATATCCCCAGATTATGCGGCGATTTCATTACAAGCCGAGATTGTGAATTCTCGATTGCTCACCTTTTCAAAGAAATGCAAATCAACTCGTAAAATGTATTAAAGAAGAAGAAGAATCATTAAAGAAGCTTTGTACCAAGTGGGCCCAAGTGTAAGTAAGAACTATGTAGATAATTGTCAGAAAAATATTGCTATGTTCATGTTAATGATGACTTTATTAGGAACAAGGTAGGCGCGTCTTCCGGGCATTATAAGACTTCAATTTAAAATATTGTAGATAGGCCTAGCTTAATTTCTCTTGTGGAACATAGAAAGTGTAGTCCATTTTATTAAAATATAATTTTCAACATTCTTATTTGTTTTTTCATGCTCAATATTAAAATAATTATTAAATAAATAAACCAGGATTTTGGGAAAAAAACATCCGCTTCGCCTTTTAATCAGTCTTGAGGCTGCCTTCAGCGCTAGCCGAATCGCTTAGGGCGGTATGATTAGCTCAACCTATAGAGTTATTCCATTGGACGGCCCGCTCCTAGATCTACAATGGATTTTTAAAAGCGCCCTCTCGAATCCCTTATCCCAGAAGGAGCTGGCACTACTACCACATTCCACATTGCAACATTGTAATAAAATGAGGTTGAAGTAAATTCGAAGGTTTTTTTTTGTTTTTATATGTATAAATTTTAAATTAATAAAATTTACTCGCTATATTTCTATTCATTATAAGTTCATCTTCATATAAATAATCATTTAATTCGCACAATAATCATTTCCATTCCTTTTTAAATTATTGTTATTATGCTCTCTGTGTACTTTTATTTGAATTACACAACATTATTTTTATTTATCGTATTTTATCATTACCATCGTTCTCATCTTTTGTTTCGTGTTTCAGCTTACAAAATATTGACATGTTCTTCAAACAAATGAGAAGAGTTATATATTATATTTGTAATTATCTTTCTTCTTGTTTTAATTGCTGTTGCTGCATTTTTCATGTTCTTATGTGATTTATCAGTTTTTTTTTTCGCTTAGTTCTTTTCTTGTTGTAGTTTCTTGCTTCGTAATGTGAATTCCTTTTATTTTAACTAGTTTGTATTATATTTAAGATTTCTATCATGGTGTTATTTTTACGCTTTTATGTTGATTGTAGTTCCTTTTGTTTCGCTCCAGCCACTTATGCTGTCTACTTGATGCTGTTGTTGTTGCATTTAATAATTTAAGAGTATTAAATAGAGGACTAATAAGTTAGTATACGCATGGTAGATGTTGGCAAATTAAAATTATGATTTAAATAAAATGTTATGCATTTGTTGGCCTCCCTTTCCTCAGTTGCCTGTAAGTTTTAATGTACGTATCTATGTATGAGCGAGCATGTGTGTATGATGTATGTACGTGTGTGTGTGTGAAAGTGTTTTATGATAGTAATAGTTCAATAAATACAAGGTTATACAAATAAAACGGGAGAGATAAGAGGATGAGAGAGGACTTGCGATCCTCAAATGTAACAAAATGAAAACATCAACAAAAAGCACAAGTCGATTTTTTTCCAGCAATATGGTTCATTGCCTGGTTTTGAAACAAACCATTTGTTTCCTTTTAAACACCAAGTTGTTAGAAGCGTGCCATTGCATGAAACTAAGCAATAATAATACAAAACGTTCATATTTTAAAGAAAATTAGAGTATAATAAATGATAACCGCCATTTGTAGTTACGTTTGTTTTTGATGTCGGCACGAATTATACACAGAAAACTAACTAACTGCACGATTCACCACAATATATAAAAAAAAACAACAATCATAATAGTGAATTTTTTATTAGACGCTAGAAACTTTTCAAGTTGGCGATAACTGCGCTTTTAAAGCGCATTTCCTTCCTCTTTTGTTTGCTGTAATTGCAATTGTAAAACTACTCTAATAATGCTCAGTAAATGTTACTTTACACATTATTTCATTAGTTTTGTTTGCAGTAGATTTTACTTTTTTACGTTTATACATATTTTCATACATAAATTACTCCTTTTGATTGTTTTTTTTTTTTAAGTTTTGTATTTTTTTAATTAAAAATTGTAAAGCCTAGGCCGGCCGTGAAACAACAGCGCATAGGTTTTTTGTGTATAATTCGTAATCATCTGCGTGTAGGCGTGTGTGTATGTGTGTGTGTGTGAACGTGTAGATGTAGATGTGGGTGTGTGTTTGTGTTGTTAGTATGTATATGCTTTTACAGTTATTACATATTTTTCATATATATTTATATATGCATGTTGGTTTAGTTACTCGAATAGTTATGCAAACATTTTAATTGCAACGCCTACGTTCCACATTCATGCTATCTGTGTTTGTGTTGGTTGCTGCTGTTGTTGTTGCGATCTGTTGTGATTTGTTGTCCTGGCGTTGCTGTTGCTGTTGCGATTGCTGATGCTGTTGTTGTTCGGTTGAGACGACATTAACATTATAATTTATTTTACTGTTTGCTTGCTTGCTGCTTCTTTTTTGTCCGCTGCGCGCACAACTTAATGTTTCCTGAACAATGCCATGTTGTGTTTGCTGTCGCTCCTGTTTCTTGGCTGACACCCTTTACGACGTCCCATTGACGAGCGCCTCCTTCTTTATGTTGTCGGTCAGCTGCTGCTGCGATGGCGTCGCATGTTGCTCATTGTGGTTGTTCCGATTCTTGTTGTTGCGACGCGGTTTCGATTGCTGCTGCGGCTGCGGCTGTGGCTGTGGCGCTTGCGACTGTGCCTGTGGCTGCGGTGGTTGTTGTGGCTGGGAGCCCGCCTGCTGCTGCTGTTGCTGCTTCTCACTGTTCCGCAGCGTCTCCTTGCCGCTCGACTGTTTTGGGCGTTCGGACGAATTGGCCGCGGCGGTCGCGTTGCCGCTGCTCTGTTTGTTATCTGATGCATTAACAGGCGCTTTGTTCAACTGCGACTGCGAAGGCGGCTGCTGCTGCTGTTGTTGTTGCTGCTGCGGCGGTGGCTGCTGCGATTTGCTGTTGTTATTGGCCACACCACCGTTTGCTGCAATGACATGAGATAACCAATAAGGGTCAGAGTTTTGCAACTAAGAGATCGATTGCCTCAATTACTAAAGCTATCATCTATGTTTTCATTGACATACCATCCGCATACCATACTCCTCAGTTCGTGAGCTGGTCGTTTCTTAGACCACGAACATCATTCGTTGCACTTTTATCAATGATATCCCACTACCCTGACGCCATTGCCTTCTAATGTTTATCTCAATCGTTGTATATTGTGTATGTCATCAATGTTAAAGAGAGTTAAAAAGTCGCACTTCAACACATAAACTAAACTGTTATTGGCTAAGATAAATTGTTCTACAAAGTATTTATTATGATGTATGATGATTTCCATGAATTTTCATAAAATTATATACAAGTATTATGATGGCATAAGGTATTCTCGTAATCGTCCTTCGTTTTGTTCGTATCGGATTTCCGGAAGAGTAGCTTTTATTTCAACGTCAGAAATTTCTTCGGCTTATAGGCTGTGTTTTCATTGCTGCTTAGCTCAATTTTAAAATAATTGGCCCTGTTCCCGAAAAAAATGGTGTGTTCCAAATTCACTTTGTAGGTGAATTTCTCTAGAAACATTCCAAAATTATTTGGAATTGAATTCGTGTCACTTGAAAAGGGGGGAATGTTAAACGGAAATACTCCCGGTTTTATCTTTAAAAAGGCTTTTAAACGGAGCCATTTTTACATTTTATTAAACAAACACACAAAGGCCATAAAGAAAATAAATTCAAAACCTGTTAAGTTCTTGACCAAATATCACAGGCAATGTTCCAACAATCTAACATCTTACTTGTTCCGATAGTCATACCGGGTGTGGGAACCGTGGGAATCTTATTCATACTCACTGTTGCTTGGCCCATTATTGTTTTTCTGCCTTCTGCGCCTTCTCGAGCTTCCCTCGTATGACGAGTTACTGTCCGCTGTGTGAAGTAAAAAAATATCGTTTAGTCAGCTTACCCGCTGTTGAAGCTCGACTCATCGCTTACCTCGCTCCACGCTGCTCACTTCACGCGTTTCACGTACATCCTCGCTGTGGTTGTGGTGGTAGTCGCGTCCATTCTGCTCGTTGCGCGGTGGCCGACGATTGATGCCGCGTCTGTCATTGCCACCGCGATAGTTTCCACCACCGCTGCCGGCGCCGCCGCCCCCACGTTCATTGTAGCGCTCGCGCTGATGATCGCCGCGGGAGTTGTAGTCATCATCGTCTCGACGGCCCTGATGGTAACGCTGGTTTAGGCCATTGCCGCCACCACCGCCACCGCCAGTTGCGCCGCGTCCGCGTCCACGGCCGCGCGGACCTACGTTACCTCCGCGTTGTGAACGCACAGACTCGATGTCGCTACTGTAGCCACGTTCGGAACGCCGAGATACGGGGAAGCTTTGTGTGGAGCCCATGGAGGACTCTTGTATGGCGCGCAGCTGCTGATCGATCTCCAATTTTTCCTGACGCAACTGTTCCACTTCCTAGAACATTAAACTGTCAGCGTATTCACACAAAATTAGGCCACTGGAGCTCATTTACATACCTTCAGGTGGGACAAGTGATATTCCAGCAGCACTTTGGCATTAGAAATACTCTCGACGGTGCCAATGAACACAAACGGTACGTGCGCCAACTCTCGTGGTATATTATGATCCTGTTCATCATCGCCAGCGATCTGTCAGAGGACGCGGCAGCAGTTAAGCTTAGTCTGCCACATGATAGGTTACAATACTCACAGCACTCACCTTGATTCGAAACACGCCACTCTTGTCTACAATTTCCTGTATGATGCGCCCGTTCTTGCCAATCACCTTGCCCACCAGCTCTCTCGGCACCTGAAAGAATTCCTCGGCATATTCGAGCATCGCACGGGCACGCTGCACCGACTCCTCGGTCTCGCCGCTTATCTTAAATGTGCAGGACTTTTCCTCCAGCTCAATATTAGTGACGCCGACCAGCGTGCGTGCTGCTTGTATATTCGAGCCGTGCGAGCCAATGGCCAGGCCCATGAGATCCTCACGCACAGAAAATTCCTCAATGAAGTTGCTGTGAATGACAGGGCCGCTAGTATGTCAAATAAATGCTTAAGAATGCATGAAAATGTCGTTATTGAAAGAAGCTCTAGCAGGCTATCCACCAAAGTCGTGATTCCTTAAGTTGGACAGAATTCTGGTCACGATAAACCAGTTTTACTTTAATAATAATTTTGGATTCATTTGCTCAAGCTGTGTTTTCTTTACTTTGGAAAAATATTTATTATTTTAGTTTAGTTCAAAGCAATGAATACCAGCTTAAGAAACTTTATTATTTTGGTATAATTTAATAAATTCAGTGTTTACCAAATTTCACCAGGAATAGCACTGCGAACGTCTTTCATACTATGATATATTTTGATGGTTTTCAGTCTTATATGCGTGCACTTACCCACGACTCATCAGTTTGGTCGTTTCAAGCTGGCGAGCGGCCTCTTCAGTCCTTTTCAAGAGCATAACCTGCATAAAAAGAAATACAGAAAAATTAAAAATATTTTGCATTTGCAGTTGTACATTAAACAAGAGAGAACGCTACAGTCGAGCAAGCCCGACAGTGAAATACCCTGTACCCAGGTAAACTTCCGACACTGAGGTATATCGATCGTATTGGCGACCGTGAGTGTCCGGTCAAGAGAGCTTTCACTGTATATAATTACTGCACTGATAAAAATAGATTAAAATGGATTATGACTTTGTAGGGAACGGCGAAATGTAGTCGTTATAACCGATAGTCGTAAACGATTTATTTTAAACGACAAAGTACAGCTACCAAATTAAATCCATAAGTAGTCATCGGAATTTTGTCGTTCTCACCGACATGTCGTGATAAGCGATGACATTATAGACTATTTGGACTGTAAATCATTTGGGTCGTTATAAAGCGGGATAAGTACCAACTCTGATTACGATATTTTAATAGGCAGAAATTTATTTTCCTAAAAGGGCTTTTTCAACCGATCCTTACAATTATTTTTAATGTACTTGTTTTGTGGTTATGAATGACAAAATTCTACACAAGAAGGCTTAGTGCGGACAATTCTATATCATCCGTTTTTCATAATGAGATAAGGTATTAAACCATAAAACGGGTTAGCTCCCCTCCTTATGCATGTCCCAAACACCTAATCCCATTTCACTCCTTGGCCACGGGGATAGTTTTAATTAAAGATTCATTGGTCACTATTCTAAGTATTACTAAATTCGAAGTACAATATAGCTTTTGTGTTGCTTCGGCCGTTACTAAAATTTACAGCTAGTTCGTGTCTGGTAGTACCCGATGACAAAAAGTTAGAGCATATCTAACCTGCTCACTATCTTAATGGGCTGAGTTTGTAGCTGATTATCAAATGATATATTTTCAGATTAGCTTCAAAAATGTAACTTATGCCATGTCAAGATTATTTAGCATTCATTTTTAATGCCAAAATATATAACGATAAAAAATTAAGCCTCAACCTATTGCAATAAAGTTCGTGAGTTTTATGATCAGCAATTGAATAAAATATGTAGATGCTTTTAAGTGGGTCAGTGGTTTTAAATGAAGAGACGTTTACCTTTTGTGAGAGATTACGAAAATGCATATCCTTGAGCATGCTAGCGCGTTTCTGAGTGTGATCCCACTTGGAGATCACAATCAATGCGTCCAGTTCACGACTGTAATTACAAACGCCCGCGTCGATTGTTCGCTGAAACTCCTTGTGTATGCCATCCTTCTGAGCTCTGTTAGGGAGGAGGAGTCACGAGCTAGCCATGTTCTCATATTATAGGCTTTATTTTATACTCACTCTTCGCGCAATTCTTCGGGTACGGGCAGCGTGAACTGGAAGAACGATTTTGGCGTGATTGGCGGATTCTGGTTCTTTGCGCGCAGTCTGCCCAACTCACAGATCTCGGTGTAGGGCGTCTCAAAACCAATGTACGCGACTGCGCAGATGTCTGCTTTGAGCATTTTGATGATGGCCACCCACCAGCCGCAGGTCTCGCGCTCGTTTGTGCGCGTGAACACCTCCACCTCCATGCCTTCCTCGAAAATAGGCGCAGATTCTCCCACCTCATCGGGCGGTAGGCGCACGTTTCCGAATGGATATTTCAAGACCTCGGGAACGCTAAAGCAAGAACAAAAAACAAACATAAATTAGCACAAATGCGTATACAATGCTAACAAAGTAATTAGAATGCCTCAACACTGAACATCTCGACTCGCTGATTATGAAGCGAAAATCTGCGGACAGGTGTTTTATGCTGCAGCTGCGGCGTCAACATCGGCAGCACGCATCGTGGCGTCATCAGCATCTGGCTCATTGCCAAGCGTTGGACGTTGAGCAAAGTACGCTGAAGCACGCGGGTGGGGGCGTGTGAGGACACAGATAGCTCCGTTAACAATCGGAAATGCAATACAGTGAACACTCTGCTGTATGCGCTGAACACTAAATTTAGTGCCGGCAGCTGCTTAGCTCAAAGAATCGCATACAATACATACAAAAAGAAAACTAAAAATTTGTTCCAAAAATGTCACCAAAAATGCAGCACCAATGCCGATGGCGGCTAGCAAAACAACAAACAACAGCAGCATGGCACAAAAAAAATTCAGAAAAATGGTTTCTTTCCGCGGTTAAAAATAGTTTCCTGTTCTGTTGCTGCGCCGCCGTTGCCCATTGGCTGTTTGCTGGCTGGGACTAGCGTCGTCATTGCTGCTGCTGTCTGCTGCTGCCAATGCTTAGTGGCATTTGTCGTTGACACTTGACAGTTTCGGCCAGCGACACTCTAGACACAGTTATTGCCTTTGAAAAGCTGCCACTGGGCGGACAGTCAGTCAGGGAGTCAGTGAGAGCCCCGCCATTATTTCCTCCCTAAGCTGCAGCACTATTTAGCAAGTAGCGCCAAATTAAACGTTGGTGCGGCCTGCCCACCATTCCGCCAACCCGACAATCCGAACAGCCTTGTCCACCAGCCTATCGTCTGTAGTCTCAGCATAAATGATGCGCGTGCAGCAATCTCTAATATTGCTTTAATGCTTTCGCTTATTCTAGCTGCCTGTATTGTCTGCCAAAATACAAACTACAACAAAAGCAATGTAAGACACTGCTGTCTCATTATTAATTGTTGCAAATTAGTTGCAAAATAACTTTTTTTTTTTGTTGGTGACTCTGTTGCTTTTCTATTGTTGGCCTGTCTGCTTGCATGAACTTACCCGTCCACATCAACGAACACGCCATCATCCCCGACAGCTGTCACCTGGCCCTGTTGTTGTTGCCGTTGTTGTAGTCGTCATTGCGGTTGTTATTGTTGGAACAGCACATCAAGGAGCATTGCGTTGGAGGAAAAAAGAAAAACGCGTTAATTAGTATGTTTTTTTTAATATGTTCTCATCCATATAGACGCAATGAAGTAAAAGAAACGAAAAATCAACAATAAAATAAAAATGTGCACGTTGATAGGGCCGAAACCTTATCGCGAAAGCTAGCCAAGTGCACGCTGATTCATCAACAAATGTCAAGGGTGGCTCGCTAAATGGCAATCGGGAAGTTACACCGAAACTTCTCGAATTTAACTCGGTTAAGCACTGCAAGAACGATAAATATTTGCATTGTCACAGAAAGAAATACATATCTCGATGCAAAGATAAATACTCGTATGTACATACATATTTACATATGCACTGTTCGCTTGGAACCAAATTCATATTCATGCCAGGCTGAAATGCCAATGGTTCAAGCGTGAAAAATCTTTCGACAGTAAGCGAGCCTAAATAGCAGTGGCATTCCTTCTTTGCACTTCTAAAATATAAAAGAAAACCATATGTGTAATGGTTGAAAAAATGCGATAGCTCCAAATGAGATGGAATACTTGGGAGTACTAATAATAGATGTTCTATAATTAGATTTTATTTTCTGGTGAGAGATCTTTGGCTACCAGGATCAAGCTTTTCTACATACATATGCATGTACATACATATGTACAAAAATATATAATCTGTAAAAGTAAAGATGGCGATTCTGCATTTATATTTCATTACAGAATAATATCATCTTGCGAAAACAACACCTCCTAGATAGATATGTATGTATATATGTAGGACGTATGAATTCAGCCCAAATCCTCAATACGCTCACTTTTATTCGGAACTTCACTTGCAAAAATAAAACGGGTAATCACACAAACATCGAGTTCGCAACATTTTTGATAAAGCAGCGAAGAAACGAAATGATGACAGATGAAGGCGCTGACGCTGGCGAAGGCTTGGATGTGCATAAGTTGAAGAAGCGTCAACAGCAAAAAACAACTCTGCGGAGCAGTAGCGGCAGGCACGCGCATACTCACACACACGCAGTGACGCAGGCAGAGACGCGCGCGCATGCCACACAGACACCCCCTCATGCAGCATTGTGCGCCACTACCTATGATTGTGTGTGAGTGTGCATGTGTTTGCGCGATACTCCACTCAACTAAATATTGTTATTTATAGAAATAAAGCTAAAATTGACGAAATTAGAAACTGCGCCGACTGTCCTACCCGTTGCAACAGCAGTTGGCTAGCATGCAACGACTGACCTAGCGCGACCACAACACCGACAGCCACCTATCCATTGACCAAGAACCGATATTTTTCCGACTCACCTTATAGAAGGCGCCATTCTCGAGCCTCACTTCGACCATTAGATCGTCCATTTTGTTGTTGCCGTCAACGCTGCCGCTAATTTTGCGATCGTCACTGCCGCTGCTTCTGTTGTTGTGAATCGATGTTGGCGCTGTCGCTGGCGTTGCCGCTGCACTTTCTCTGATGCTGTGCTGTTATGTGGTTGTTGTTGTCGCAGGCGATAGTGTTGTTGTTTCCGCTGCGTGTTACAACCGCCGGCGTGGCCTACTCTCTAATTACGACACGACCAAGAAGAATCTGACGATTAATTCGATTCGTCGGGAAGATATTGTTTACGTTAGTGTTGATATTAAACAGTAGCAGTGGCAAGTGCAAATGGCAACACACCCACAGTGGCAGAAGAACGACAGTATCCTTAAAGCTCCTAATTCCGTTGATTTTGCTTTGTTATCAGTCTTTTGCACTTTGTTGCTGCTGTTGCTTTGTCTGGAACAAAACAAAAGAAATAGTGGTTTCAACAACAAATTCAGAATGAGTTCAAATTTTTACAATATATAGAGTGCAGGGCAATTAAAATACTCTGAAGTTATTTTCACCGGCAGAGTGGGTGATTTTATATCAAGTAAAACACAAAAACAGTAGTAGGTAGGAGTAACAAATGCAGCGGCCCAACGTAACGTCAACGAAAGGCAGGCAGCGCACATTTACCGGCTGCTTCTTCTTTATTCTATAGCCGCCTTATTTCTTTTTTCACACCACCTTCAGACGCGTGTGTGCTCCCGCTCTCACACAGACAGACAGAGCAACTGACAGCAGCGGAGCCGCCGAAACGCTTTTCCAATAAGAATGTCATACACACGCACGTCACTTCACTCACACATTCATGCGGTCGCACACGCACATGCCGATTTTACATATCAAATTTACACATAATTTCCACTTTTGGGGCGCCGTCCGTCCCTCCTATCAAATTCTGCCAATCTCCACACTTCGACTCTTTCTTATAAAACCTAACAATTCCACATTGCCCGTGCGTAGCACAGAATTCTCTTTTCTTTTGCTGCACATACGCGGTCGCAGTCGCGGCCGCAGTCGAAAAGAAAAAATGCAAAGAAAACCGATTCACCGCTGAAATATGATGAATGGTGTAAAAACTTGTGCACTTACGTTTGCCCGGCTGTTCCCTGTGTCCAATTCGATTGGCAAATCCGTTAAAAACTCTAACTAACCTTTTAAAAATCAAAAATATATAGCTGTTCTCTCTTCGTTTTGCTTTTGCTCACTGTTCCAAATGCAGTGCTGCCAATAGTCATGGATGTCCAATGCAGTGCTGCCAGTTGGCTGGCGTTGCCATGCAGATCTTATGTACGTTCACAATAGATATCGCCAGAGCTGCCACGATTGCTAGAGTCTGCCAGCGTTACCCTTCTGTACGCTGTGCGTTAATTTAAAATTTATTTGTTGCGAAGGTAACGAGGAATACAAAATGAATATTAGTATAAATAGTTAATAAACGTGAATTTGAACTTGTAATATTATGAAGTACTACTATAAGCTGACTAAATTCATTTCCTAGTTATAAATTTGTATAAATCCTTTTACCATGTCTTCTTTGACTTTTCCAGTTGCACACTTTCTTGCGAGTGTTACTTAATTAATTTAATTACTTGTCAGGCGTTTAAATTCGCATAAAATCACATGGTGCGCGCTATTCAATTAAAGTTGATTCGTTTTCAATTTAGTAAAATTGCCAAATAATGCTGTCGCATCATATTGTGCTACAAGTATATATGGTATGGCGCCTCTGCCTTTGTCCAGTCGCACACATTTGCCCTGAGTGCTGACCGTTTTATTGGATTGCTCGTTAATGTAATTGTAATTATTATTGCAGTTAGTGTCCGTATGTCGGTATGTTGTGGACAATGGTCGCTATTTATCATATGATGTTTTATGCTCGTGCATGGCTTCACCCCTCCTCAATGAATCTATTCACTATGCGTCGCGTGACGTTGCAGCGCTGTGCAAATGTTGTTGTTTGTTTTGCATATACTGAGTATGTATGGATATGTACTTATATGGTGTTTATAAACATATGAATGTGTCTACCCCATTCTGATTGGCGATAAAATTTCAAAAGGTGCAGTTGCAGCGCTTTACAATTTTGCCCCCCTTTCAATTGCAATTAAATTTATTTATTAAAAATGCCAGCGCTCAGGCAAATGAACTGTCATAGTAATGACAAATCGTAAGTGCCGCTAGGTTTCTTCTCACCACACGCGAAATTGCTATTTGCTTGGTAAGTTTATTTATTTGGCCATTTTAACTGCAAACTTGAAGGACATGGAAAAAAGTTAATTCGAGCAAAGGACAAGGTTCAAAAGTTAGCAGGGGAAAAATGTAAAGAATCTCGATGTAATCAGGTATGTACATATATATCTACTATATAAATAGCACATATCTAAGTTTGTTATCTATTCTATGGGATATACATATGTATGTATGTATGTATATACATATATACAGATATGGTGAAGTTGGTCGAATACATAGGTATCAGTTATTAAGGGCCCACATAAAATATTTCATATGCACAAAATTTCAGCAATTAATTATAAAATCAATTATGGATCTTTTTACTTTTTCGTGTTCTAAAAAATTATTTGTTGGGTTGTATTTTCATACCAACTAGTGTTAAGTTAGGCAGAAAATTTTCTATTAGCTGATCACAACTCATCAGATCAGAAGTGCTAGGCGAATTTGTTTAAACAGGAAGGTATATACGGCGAATTTAAAAAAATTAACACACTCCCGACAAATTCGATCAATTCGAACCTGATATAACATTAGTCTCAATATGATGTGTACATACATATATTAATTTGTAAATTATTGACTAAATACAGTCGGACAGACTATGAACAAGTATTTGAATAGGTTGCGGTGGATGACACTTCTTCTAATTATACAATTATTTTCAACGATCTAGTGTACAGTCTATACAGTCTACAGGTATGTGCATACATAATATATCCCCCGTACATACATACATATACCCAGTCAACCTCCCTGTAATCACGACAATTTGTTCAAAAAATCGCAGTGCAATGGAAACAAAAAGTATATTACATTAAATCAGATAACTATAAATTGCCAGCCGTGTTGACAGCAATTACTGTCAAGAGCGCCAAAAGCGATTTGTACCGGAAATGCATTTCATGGAGGGTATGCAGCGGCGAGTGATTAATTTTGTACTTTTTTATAGCGGCAGGTAGATTCGTATATACATATATGTACGTACAAGTATATACTTATAAAACCAGCAGCTCCAACGCCTACTTTTGCACTAGTTTTTTTTCCATGGCTCCACCATTTTATTTTTTAAACAAACTATTTCGGAGGCAAATGGAAACTCACCAGTTAGCAGGCTTTCCTATTTAAATAAATATGAACTATTTGCTTTCAATTATTAAAATTGTTAACATAAAATTTAAGAAACAAGAAATGCCGAATAATATAAAACATGTACCTACTTATGTGTTGGCCTACAATAAAAGCTGCTGGCACGTTATGGGCAGAGACTACACATCCATTTATAAATTATTTTAGAGCTTTGTATTCGGATGTGGCCATGGGACCAGCTTTAAAAAATATGAATTCGCAATGGAAACGGATTTACAAAAGTTATGCAAGCTATAATAAAACATCTCGAGCGGAGTAATGAGTAGGGCTCGAATTCCGCTCATTCTTGAGCTCACGCTCATGTACTGCATACGCTCATGTGCTGCTCATGCTCGAATGGATAATGTGTGCCACAGCACTGTGCAGAATGTGTGCAGCCCATTGCAAAAGCAGCAGCTAGGCACATTCTGCACACGAGCATGGGCAGCACATGTGCAGTCAAATATTTGCGAAAGGGGTAGCAGGCTTGAATAAACTCAGCTAGCAAATTAATTTGTGTAAGTTGTAAGTGGACAGAAATATCTAAAACGCCACATTTTGCTGAGCCAGTCAAGGATTTGGTATAGTGGGGTCTGCCACGACTCCTTTTGTTTTTATAAAAGCTAAACTGAGTTATAGAACATGCTTTAACCACACGGCTATAGGTATATACATATAAGATTAACAAAGTAAAGTACTGCACAGTTATGTTTTGATGAAAGCCGATAATGAGTCACTTAGACAATCTGAACCACAATAACGATAAAGATATAGTTCAAAGTAATATGCTACCATTTTTTAGTGGTTTTGATGGTCGTGAGTCACCTAGACATTCGGAACCAAAATAACGATAAAGATACAGTGAAAACTCCCTTGGCCGGACAAGAGGATATTTAGATTTTGCTCATTTGAATTGATTTTTCTTGAGGCAATTAAACTAAAATGACATTATTGAATTGAAATTTTACCCTACGGGCACTGGGTATAATAATAGTATTTATTTTCCTTTTGCAAATAATTAAATAACAACAACAATTAGTGCACAAAAAGCGGAAGTTATAGGGTATTTTACTGTCCTCTTGTAGTAGAAAGAAATACGTGTAAGTCGTTAGATATGGAACGAAACTGAAAAATACGGATGTTCAAACTTAGTGAAGAGAATCACTACTATATTTTGCATGCATTTGAAACGTCTATTAACAAGATGTTAGCGTCCGGCCAAAATAGGTTTTATTTTAAATTTGATGGTTTATTTTATGTCAGCGTGTGTTTTCAAGAGCGAGTTCAAATTAAAAAAAATATTTGTGTCCCGCCAAGAGAGGAAAATATCAGCACGAATATTCTATAAAAGGAGCACGGATACAAGAGATGTCCATTAGAGAGTTTTTACTGTATTCTTATTGCAAAAGAATTACATTTTTAAAGTTCTGTTATTTTTCTCATGTTGCTTCGTGGTGCATTGAACAGATATGGGAAATGTATGAATCACAAATACATACATTTACAATAACATAGAAGGGCTACGATTTCATCATCGTCCGCGCCGAAGCTATATAACCTTAGTGTGTCTTCTGTGTCTATTCCCTTATGAAAAATATTTACTTATTTCGCATGGTCGACCTTGATGTATTGTGTCCGTATTATGTGATAAAGAAGCCTCAATGAGAAGAGACTAAAAGTTCAATTTAACGGGATATTTCAGATAAATTTCTTTGTCCCACTTATTAACTTTGCTTTCCAGAATCAATTTTATAGCTGAATGGTGTAGTGTCCCAAAGGCAGAACATTTAGGACTAGTGTTGCTGACTGCAGGGTAAGTTCAGGTAGCACCAGCTATTGTAAATAGCTCATTAGACTGTCGCTGTCGCTGTCGCATTCTGTTATTCTGTTAAGTGCAGCCCTCTAAACAAACACTGTCTGACATTGACTTTTTGTGATGTCTTTTGGCACATTAGATGCAGTTTTAAAACGCCGATGCGTACGCTGGCGGGCACGGAAACAGTGGCTCATGCTAATTTGCAAATACATATGTATGTATTTTAAAATAAGTATATGCAAAACTGAATAATTAAAATATAGAATTGGGGAAATGTTATGGTATAAAAAAAAAATAAAAAACGAAAGGAATGGGGCTTTATTCTGATCGCTATCATTTTATAATCGTTGAAAATGGGTTATGATAGTCACTAAAAATCCATATGTCTATTTAGCTTAACTTTTATTAGCCGATATTTACATGAAACCACTAAAATAGAAATAAGCACTATTTTGTGCTTAAATAAAACACGATCACACCAATAATTTGAAAATAAAAATTCCGATACTGCCATATGAAAGGGCGCATTTTCTCATGCACTTCGGCACTGTACTTGTATGCTAGCAATTAAAGTTTTATCAAAAAGTCAACAATTCAAATAATAATTTTCCAGAGATGTTTCGTGTGGGTGTATGTGGGGCGGATGGTTTACTGTACGGCGGAGGTGAAACGAGCGCTTGATATGAAATCGGCGTACAAGAGAGCAATAGCTGGGTAAAGAGGCAGAGCCGACTTGAGCATAGCATATGGATATGCAACATAATGGCCTGTTTGGCACAATTGTCGCTTCCACATCGTGTCCAATTAGCGTTCATGTGGGTGCACTACTTAGACGGTCCGACGCTGCACGCAGGCGCAAAAAGCACCCAGAGAGCGAAAACTAAATTTTAATTTAAAATTACATTAATCAACAGCCCCAGGGTGTGCAGCATCGAAAGAGCACGCGTACGGCTAGGCATATTCAATTCAAATATATCTCAAACGCTGCGAATATTCTAAATTTGTTTGCTTGACATTTGCACGAATTTTAATTTTAACTTCAGCGAGTGGTCGCGCACTGTGGAACTATTTAGCATGATATCGAATCCGAAAAAATGAACGCAAACACGAAAATGTACCCGAATTTTATTACAAAGGATTGAACTACGGGGCAGTTTAAAATTTTGTAGTATTCTTTGAACAGGCCGGTAAAAGAATGCATATTTTCAATTCCGAAATAGACGTACTCATATAGCTACTTGCAGTTAGCGCTTTTGGAAGGCGATCGAATAAAATGTATTTCTCATATACATCTGTATAATTAGTTATACATATACTGTGCGATGGACGTAAACGTCACTTCCTGCCTCCACATGTGTACGGGTATGTGTGAGGCACGCGCCATTTTACATTTCGTGCTTTCTGCCACACACATACACACACATGCACACACATTCACACACACGCTCTTGCACGGGCAATGCGACTTTCTATTTACCAGGCATTTGCTCCATCCTCTACTGCTGCTTGCTTATCAATTTGAATGCTATTGGCTCTTGGACGCCTCTATGCAGCCCCCGCACTGCTGACGCTGCTGTTGTTGTTATTATTACAAGTATTGTTGTTTTTGTAGGTGCTGCGTCGGCAACGTCGGCTTCACCTTCGCAGCGTTCGCTGTTCGGCGCCTTTTCCGTGGGCGCGCGCTTTTGCATTCGTTCGGTTGACGCTAATACCGACGAGTACGTGCTATACCCTACGCTTTAAGTGAAAGGGCTTATTCTGTTTGGTATGGAGGTTCGTAAGACATGCAAATAAATAACAATAGAAGCAGGAGTTAATGTAATCCTCAGGTAGCAGAACCTTTGGCCCATTTGTCAGTCTGGTCCAGTCGGTTATGTCTCTGCTCACGGTCATGTGCAGTCAGAGACTATCCAGAAATTAGCTGAAGGCTATCTTCGGATGAGGCCAGAGAACGTTCGGTTGAGAGCACGTGATTGCTAATATTTAAGGACAAAGATTCAGATTTTTGTAAATATCTAACCATCGTGAACATCTTGAATCTCTTTTGACCGCAACACCGTTTTTAAGTGCCGTTCTTGAAGGTGCTGTGTTAGTTCAAATAAAATGTCTTGTGAAGGGTATAGTTTTGGCGCAACTGAAGATATGTTTTTAGATCTGTGTTGTTGCTATTGTCGTATCCCGCTCGGCTCGGCTGTTGTAGTAGTAGTATCTGTTCGAGTGTTTGTAGTTGTTGTTGCAACTGTTCTCGTTGACGTTGTGATTTTTCGTCATTTTCATTTCTTTCGCGCCTCGAGAACTACTCGACAATATAAATTTCAATTCATGCCCGTCCATGTCTATCTATCTATGTGTGTGTGTGTGTGTGTGTGTGTGTGTGTGTGTGTGTGTGTGTGTGTGAGTGTGGGTGTGTGTGTGTGTGCGAGAGTGATGTGGGTGTGTGCATGTGTGCATGTGTGCGTAGTGCCCGATGCTCGCTCATTTTTCAGTAATCATTCTGTGCCTGACCGCTGCGGTTTCGTGCCGTTGGCTGGCTTCTACTTTTGCTTTTGCGTTTGCGTTTGCTGCTTGAGGGTTCTGGGTTCTGTTCTTTGTCATCTGCCCAGTGAGTTGCGCTGCGCTGCGCTCGCCATTCGCGATTTTCCGTTCGCCATCCAGCTCGTTCCGTTATAAAAAGCGCGTGCCGTGTTTCGATTTAATGGAGTCAGCTTTCACCAGGCAAAGGGTTTAAGTCCTGCCCGGCAGTGTTAAACAAATAAATAACTAACTAATAATAATAATAAACTACAAAGTGCAAACTGAAACACAAAAAAATATTGAACAAGTGATATATAGATTTAAAAAAACTGAAAATGCATTTTATTGCCGTCGTTCTAGGTAAATACTAAACTATAATGTTAATCCACCTTCTTGTTTTTAATTCGGAAACTGTGCAATGTAATATTGTAATAATTTAGTATTTATTTGAATTAAATGAGAAAATGCAACTCGATAGCTAAGTTTACAGAAAAACATTCCATCCGGGGCTCTTTTCTTTGATTTCAAACCGAAATATGAGTAGTGCTTGCTTTGACTGTGCCTAGTAAAGTTTCTGTAGTCACGTAACAATCTGTTGGCTGGCTCGCTGTGTAACCCTAGATAGTGCCAAAAGTTTTGCATAGTTAAGAATATCCCACGCTCACAATTAGCCAAAGCGTTGCCGGCGTTGTACCTCGAACAAAACATTTCTAATTGCTGTTGAAATTCTCTTATAATTGCGTCGATCTTTTCAATTGATAACTTACCAGACAAACAATATAACCCGAGTAGTAACAAGTGCTCATGATACTGCTGTCGCGCTGGTAATTATAGTTCTGACTTTCGCATCAAACAATGGCATACATATACTTACAAGTAGAAAGCAAGTACCGGTAGGTGCCTCTTACAAAATGTTTGATAAGCCAAAAAGGAATGCTGGCATATTGTACTTATTATATGAATTGTTTGAAAAGTCGTTGGCTTGCCAGTAGATCTATTTCATAATCTTCAGCGCACCAACATGTGTCATTTCTATATATTTTTCACTGCTCTATGTATAACGATTTAATCAAATTAACGACCGCAATTGACATGAATTATACGACACTTAATATTTTTCCCTATGCCGGCGAATGGTGGACAGGGAGATTTTATGCGATCAATTGTTTGTACTGCCTCATAAAGTAAATTCCAACCAGGATTGTGCATTTAATTGTCATTTAATCTCTCTTACACTTTTAAGCCTCAAAACCTTTGTTGCTCTATGTTGGCTATCACCATTGTAATTTAGAATTAATTTCAAGATACAATTAAGTTAAATAAATACAAAATGTACACTTTTATACTATGTGCTTTGGATATAATTATATACATTACATACACATGTAAGCCGAACATTTGCATTTTCTGTAAATATCCCAATTAAATTTCTCGAGCTCTGATTTTCGCAATTCGAGTGACTTTTTCGAACCTGATTCGAGTACCTTCGTGCGAGTAAATTTATAAATAGAAAGGAAAATTGTGTTATAACCAGGTATACTAGTAAATATTATATTAAGTTCATCACAATATTGCTACAAGTATATCCTTACAAATTCCTTTCATTTTTCGCACTAGTCACAGTTATAGAGAAAGTTCTCCATTTCACTCGAAATATACTTGTACTATTAAAATTAATATAATAAGTAGTAACAAAAAAATATGAAGTATAGCAAATTATTGAGTTGTTTAAAAGACCTTTGTACTTTTAAATAGTTTCAAAGGCCGCCGAGTAAGTAATTCACACATCTACATATATATGGAACACATCAACTGGAGGAAATGTTCATTTTAAATTTAGTTGATGAATCAATTTATTTGTGGCCGATGATGGTAGACACCCCATGGTTAATTATATTTCACTTTTATAGGGATTTAACATAACAATATTTTTATCGAAATGGAGGGAAATTTATAAAAGCTGGTTCTAATTTCTAAATTTATAACCATCTTTAGAATTTGTGTATGTATTTCGCTTCTACTATCTTTTACGTCGCCTATCAATTCCTAAAACTACTCCTGTAATTAATTCATCGTGTTCGACAGGGAGGAATTTATTTATATGGCTTCCAAAGCATGGGACTATTATTGAACTCGTCTTATCAAGCATTTATTGACGCACTTGCTATTTGCGTCCGATTATCTATGCAGGCCTGCTAAGCACTTCACTTGAGACTCAGTAAGGTTCCCGATTAGAGGGTACCAGCGGATAATCACAAGTGAGGTAAGCAATTACTGAACAATTATGCGGCTACCTAATCGTTTCTAAAGCTGAAACTTATCACTAGATAGCATAACCCCAATGCGACAAATTTAGGGCGGCTATGAAGTTGGCCAGATTAGCTTTGATTTAATCTAATGATATCCGAGAGAGGTTGCATCGGTAAACATACTATAGTGTAAGCACTAGAAGTATTGGCATCACATGATCGATTCATTGATAAATCGAACGAATGAAGCGCTCTGTTCTTAATGGTACGAGTACTATCAAACGATCTAATCTGATAACTGCCGGTGACGTTGAAGAGCGCGCCCCCTCTGGAACACTCCAACATAACTTAAACGCAGTCAACCATGCATACCGACTAATACTACGAGTATATATTATGTGTACATATGTATAAAGATATGCTTGTATATATGCATATATGTGTATAATTGTTGTCTTTATTGTTTGCTTGTCAATTTGTTTGTTTAGCAAGCAACAATGACGAGGCACGTCACGATATCGCAGATACTCATAGACGAACACACCCATTGAAAGTGAAATTACAATTCGCAGCCATTAAGCCGTGTGAAAAATCGCTCAATTTTCCCGACTTTGCTCTGTCTAGAGATAGTGGCACGGACTAGATGCTGATGGCCACTAGTAATCTGTTTCCGGTCATGCCAAAGTGGCATGCTCTCCATGCCTTTTCGACTCATTCCTTGATACTTTCATGTCTGTAATCAGCAACAAATGAATGAACTACGCACAAGCAGTCAATTTCCGACTATAGCTGCCATATTATCAAGCTTCACTTGCAGTTCTGGCAATGATATGAATACGTTCATACATATAGTACAGACTTGTGCGTCCATCCCTCTTGATGGAAAGTTTTCAATTGCTGTCATAATCGATCACAAGTCTACAACAGCAATCAAAACCATATGATCTAGTAATTAATATTGTAGGTGCAATATATAAAAGAAACAATTAACAAACTGCCGAAACCTCATAACAATCTGCCTAATCACTCGACGAAATCTACTAGCGACAATTGTCATATGAGCACGTTTCTGGCCCACAAGATTAGTTTCACCCTAACATATTCCAACTGATTAGCATTGCCTGTCCGGTCTAGTAGGTATCAAGGTCCTGTTGCATCCAGCTAAGCTATAGTTTGGTCTCAGCCACTAAGTTGTTCGGCTAATCACCTATTGGTTTCTTTAGTACTCGTGCATATATCCTTTACCGATTCACGAGATTTCAGGACTTATACAATAATTTGCCTGTATTAGCATTTTCAAAGTACTTCAGTACTAAGCACGTGGTACTTAGGAGTCTCATAAAATATTAAGTTTGATTTTTTAATATCACCATAATATGAATTCATTTCAATTGTAAGCGTAGAAAGTAATTTATACACAATGCGCTCTTAGCTCTATTGTGAGCCTTGACACATTATTACGTAAAATTAATAATATTCCTATTACTAATTACTAATTACTAATTTGTAGTTTGAGTGTCAGGTACTAAAACAAGACAGCAATTTCCTCGTAAACGCTCTAAAAACTATATTGATATCACAAGTGTTTGGTGTTAAGCATGCTAGACTGTTTCCCAAGTATCCTTTGGGGTCTAGTTAGTTGAACAGCGCTGTTGTTCTCAAGACTGCGCCAAGATAACAGTGCGTCTAATGATCTACTCATAAAACCAAGTGCACTCCCGAAATTGTTTATCTGAATTCATATTGCCTTGAATATTGCACACAATAAAATGTAAATAAAATTCGATATGGAAAAGCACTGAGTACCCCAATTTGATTTTGGAAGTTGGGCGAGGTGGGAGGCCGGCTCGACGTGCCCGACATGATTTCACAAAAATCCCTTATCTGCCAAATTCCGAACATCAATTAGTTTAAGCTGACAAAAACAGAAAACGATTTAAGTTGATTGCCAATTGAGAATTGGCCAAAATGGGTGCAATAATAACGAAATGCTGAGCATGCCAGTCGACTTTTAAACATATTGCATATTTTCTTGCAAATTCTCTTCAATGTGATTTTGTTTATGTTATTTTTGGCACAAATCGAAGCCAAACCTGCACAATGTTTCGTGTTAATTCACTCTTGAATTATTTGCTGACATAGCAGTCTGTGCCAAGATATACATACATACAATCATCTACTACTATGTGTGGATGTATGGTCAGCAGTATTTCAATTAGCGAAACACAATAATGAGACATGCACACTTGAACTGCCTTTGGTTTTCATTCATGAGTCTCTAATTGTTTGTTTTGTGTCAAATTTCGCATTATTATCCCTTGAAGTTGTTCATTAATTTACAGTTTTGTTTAGCATTCCGGAAACAAGGCTGGCAACGCCAATTTCCATTGGAAATAACTTAATAACTTTTCAAATTGCTGCAATTTTTATCATATTGCCGATTTAATTACTTTGAATGACAACAAATGCAATGTTTTTCATTTCATTATAACCTTATTATTTCTGAGGTTGCTGCGGAATATACAGCAACCAAAGAATCAGGAAAGTTACTAAAGGTGCTGATCATTAATATACCTAAGATTTTTTATATGGGAGTTTTGGGAGTTACAATCAGATCAAATGAACTGATATGTTTTTATTTTATTTTGCGCCCAATGAAATCTTGTCCAAATCCATATGCTAGATTGAATTCTGCTACTTCTGCATTCAGTTTTTGCAACAGTATATAGTATATGTCTCGTTTGTATAAGTAGTATGCTCTGCTGAAAAATCAAATATTTTCTTTATTTTTGGCTGAGATATGAGGATTATCTGAATCATAAATAGCTATAAATTATAGGTCCTGTGCATCAAAGTGACATAATTCGGTCTTAGCATTTATTATGAATCATGCCATTTTTGCAAAGCATTATATAATTTATACTTATTATAAGTAAGAGACGAGCAGAATAGTATAGTCACAAAATTTATAGCTTTTGTCTTATCAACGGCAATTAAAAAGTGAAATTCGAAAAATGTATTTATATTTATATTTGCTTCTGGTTCCATTTCTGTCCGCTGCTCGAAGCAATGAAAAAACTAAAAGCCATTTGCGTTTGATAATAAAAATTTGCAATCAAACTAAATCTGCGCTCTTCAATTTCAGAGTCAAGGCAGCCAAATCCTAGTCCATTCAATTGATATAAAAGATGAGCACTGCCGTCAAATAATTTCGGCAGATGCCACCAATTCTACTTACAGTACGTACGTACTTGTACATATGTACATGTATATATGCAAATAGAGGCAAAAGCGTTTGCCAAATGAAAAGTTTGAATTTCTTTTGGTGGCACATTCATCATTGCGGATTTTGAAATTCTATTAATATGTGCTTTTTAACTTTATTTTTGCAACTATCACGCACTGTGCAGCGTACATGCTACACTACATACAAACTGTATCTCATAAATACAAAAAAAGAGACAGCCGTGCGTGCAAATGTCGTCATTGTAGTCGATTTTTGTCGGAAATTTCTTTTCGCATTTTGCTGTCTGGGCGTCTTTGGCAGAAAATCACAAAGAGCCAACCAAAAACTAAACGAGCATTGCCCGCAAATATTTTGAAAACCCAAAGTATAAACATAAATTAATTTTGCCCCGTTTGCTTTTATTTCGATATACTCTTTAACAACTGCCGGTTTTATTAACCCGTCATGGGGTCTCAATCAACACAGTCGCAGTCTGTGAAGAGTTACGCCACGAGGTGCACAAGTTTAAATAATTTATGGAATCTAAGTGCGACAAAGGCCTATAAATGGCTCATAAAATGTGACATTCAGCGCCGATAGGCATTAACATCGTTAATAAAACGAATAAATGACACATATATTAAAACTACTGCTACGGAGCACACGCGTACATAGTGTTCTATTCGTATGGAGACATGTGTGTTTTCAAATGTGTTGTAGCATAATGTTTAGAAATTCTGACGGTTCGTTGTCAAAATGCTTTTTAGTTAAACACAATAATTGTACATGATTGAGGAGGCGAAAGTTGCTTAAATGATAGGTGCATGTATTAATTGTGTTTTCATGAATGGAGACAGGAAAGGCGTAGTCGTCTCTTAATAAAAGGGGGCCTTGTAGAGCATTCGACCCATAAATGTAGTCTCTGCTGCAGAAGCAAGTTAAGACACAAATTCTATGGACATGTGATGCAAAATATTAATTGAACAATAATTATAAGCAAATGTTTTACGTGCCGTAGAAAATTGAGAAATTATACGAATATTTTGTATTAAAGCCTTTTTGCAATTACGTCAAGCACTTGAATAGTTTCTTTACAAGAGCTTATCCGGACATCTCGCAGAGAAGAAATACAAGTAAGTGTGATAGTTTGCATATTTGCCCGTTTTGATCCGACTGTCTTTTATCAGCGTCAGAGATTTGCCATGTATTTTTAGCAATGTTCTGCTTTCTTTTATTTTATGTTCGTTAAACACAGAGGAACATAAAAACACCCCTACAAACATACTACTTATATACATATTATGTATACATGCGAGATGCCAAGTGCAAGGTGCTGAAATGTTTGCCAAAAACCACCGATTTAATCGTTTTGGCGTTTGCTGTTTCTTTAACGGCTTGTCGAGATTTTTACATACATGTACATACTTATGTACAAATATATCTATATTCTGGCATGTATATGTAAACCTGGTGTTGGCCCACTGGCTGACAGCCGGCGTCTGTGTTGACGATCTCGCCTTGTCCTGCAATTTAATGGCGCATCATCAACGGCACTTGGTATTAATTAGTGGGCCATGAGCTCACATTTGGGGCGGTCAATATTCGAGAATTCGTACGCGTTTATGTAAATGCCTTTAAGTTGCTCCACAGCACGTGTGCCCGATATACGAAATGGTTATTTGAACGCACTTTCTTAAATCTGTTCATTGCAGCTTGCAGTTTCGTGGCGTTGAGTGGAGCTTCGCATGAGTGGGGCTATCCGGACTTGGACAGTAATCAGGATGAGCGTAAGTAAACGAATGCACACAAATGCTTAAATTATATACATATATATAGTAGTACATATTTGCCTTTTATCTAAATTTGCCTCGTTGTGAAAAGTGCGGCCATTAAGAGTAGTTTAGTGAAATTGGTTAATCAACGCCAACACATGCAAATACGAGTATGCCGACCATAATTCATTGTCAAGTGTTTTGGGTCAATTGTGCGCAATGTGCCCCTGCCCCTGCCTCTGCCTCTGCCCGACCACCTTTGGGTAACAAAAGCAGTCGCAGCAGCCGCGCAAGCTGCGCTGCGTGCCTCTAAATTGTGCCAAATAGCGGGGTATTAGAGTCACAATCACCCACACATTCCACACACTTGTACGAAGTCTCAACTACAGTGGTAACTGCTTGAGTTTAACTCCAGTAGCAAACTATACGAAGCTCCCAACTAGCAAATAAAATGGCATTTTAGGAAAACTTTGTGTCGCTTAAAGCTCTGTAAGGAGTTGATCCGCATCTCAAATGCCACATTATCGATTGAATAGCAAGAATAGATTAAGAATTCCACAGCACTACAGCTTCGATTATATTTGAGAAAGACGAACAACCGCGAAATAGGTCTATTCTTGACCAAGTCTAAGTACTCCGATGCGGCCCAATTACTTGACAAGAATCGGATTATTCTCACTGTTCATTCCTACTTCTTTCAATTGGACAGAGTATTGCATTACTACTTTACATATCAGATTAAGAATAAAATCTAGGTCAGCAATAAGCGGTAGTTAAATATTCACCTTCTTTATTGTAGCCTTTCCTAATTGGGGCGGCCTTTGTGACATTGGCAAAAAACAAAGCCCCATCAATCTTCACGTGAAAGGCGCGCTTAAAGGCGAGTTCCCGTCACTGGAGTTTAAGAACTTTGACGAGCACCAAAAGAAGCTGGAAATGGTAAACAACGGACATTCAAGTGAGTCTCGCAGTATGTGACCTACTATATACGATTTCTTACAAATTCCACCAATTTTCTGCAGTTCAACTCTCGGGCTTTGAGCACGAGTTGTCGCTTAGCGGGGGCGCCCTGCTTGGAGACTTCGTGGTCGAGCAAATTCATATGCACTGGTGGTCAGAGCACACCATCAACGACATCCGCTATCCACTGGAGGTCCACATAGTGCATCGGAACAAGCTGTATCCCAATATTTCCATGGCTGCCGATTTTCCGGATGGCATCACCGTCATCGGCGTTCTATATCATGTCTCCAATCAGCCCAACCCTGCCATTGGCAGCATCATTAAGAGCCTCGATGATGTGAAGAAATACTCGGCCATGAACAAGCCCACGAAGGTGAAGGACAGTTTGGCTGTGAGCGACCTCCTGTCCAGTGTAGACGGTTACTTCACCTATGCCGGCTCCCTGACCACACCCACCTGCGCCGAGGCAGTCACCTGGATAGTGCCCACCGAAACGTTCCCCGTTACTCTCGACCAAGTTAACGAGTTCAAAGAGATCGAGTACGATGAGGGCAAGCAGCTCCACAATAACTACCGCGAGCTGCAGCGTGAGAATAACCGGGCAGTCGTGCTCGTCCAGACTTCGCAGCAGAAGAGCGCGGCGGCGCTGCAGCTGCACTGCCTCTCGCTGGGTGCCCTCTTGCTCCTGTCCCTGGTCGCCAACAAGTTCCTGTTTTAATGTAGAGTAGCAAACGCATTTGCCTACCTAGCCATACCAAAGATTATCTGCACCGAGTTTCTAGTGCAGACACAACGAATTTTACCAAAAAACAAAAAACAAAAAAAAATGGAATGAAAAACTACAAAGAGAGCAAACTTCTTACCAAGTGTTAGAGCAACGACAGACATTTTATACTCATTAATTTTATGTATTCCTCTTGTTAAACATTCAACTAGTCAATTTGTGTAAAATCCAAGCTAGTGCCTTAATAAAACCCCACGCAAATTATTGTTTTATAAGTATTTATATGATCTCGTAAATAAGTCAGCTGAACCAATGTGGCGTATGCGTAATTTCGTAGCTGACCACATAAAAGTGCCGCGGCGCTAGCATTGGTCGCTTAAAGTTCAAGTCGTTGAAGTTTATGGTTGCAATTTATCCAAAAATAGCAGGTGATATACACGCGATTCTTATGCGGAACACAATTGCCATTCAATCCATCAATTGGTCAGTTTGATAGCTCCAGCGTAGCTCGCCTAATTATGGGGCTCCCATTCCAAACGTGTCGGTCATAATCGTATGAAAATATCAGCATTGTTTACGACACATAACAATTTATTTTCGATTTGCTCGAAATCTCTGATAAGAGTCAACTGACCAATACGTTTATCAAACGTCACTGACAATAAATGGGACAGTTAATCAAAGAATTTATTTCAGGTGATTTTTAGTTCACTTATTAACTGATAGACTCATACCCAATCACAAGTGCCCATTAAAAGTCATTTGATGTTATTTTTATATGCACATTTGCACATGATAAAAAAAATCGTTGTTCTAGTGAATGTGAACATTGGCCAATCAATCACATTAAAAAATCATTCGCATAAATAATAGGTTTCAAAAACAATTTGGACTTAGTTTTCTTATATCAATGTATCAACCTATATACGAGCTTAATATTATTATCTAAAATTATTATCTAATTCTAATTATATCTAATTCTATATTCAATCTAACCACATGGAAGCAAAACGCGCACATCTATTAAATGGAAGAGTTACTTGTGAAACTTGTGCTTATTGGATAGTTAGGCCTGGCCGATTCAACCCCCGATCAATAAGTCAACTGAAAAGCAATGAAACATAATTTCAGAATTTGTATTAAAATTTTACTTTTTTTTTTAAACTTTAGTAGTCACTTTAAAAATTCACGGCTGGACACTTGTGGACACTTCACACTCCAAAATATAATTTTCTATAGTAATAGTACTGCCAGCTTGTCGTAATTTGTACTTGTATGCGACTCTACTCGCTATAAATAACATTCAAAATATGTTCTTTATAATCAATGAGCGTAGACGATTTACCCTCAGCCTTCAGTAGTTTTGAACGAATAGATGGTAAATTAGTATTTTATCAGCCTTTTCACAGTCATAATTGAATACTTATTATTGCCGGCAAACACCCACAGACTTTCGTTCAACACTTTACGAACTAACGAACACTTGCTCGACGCTCTATTTAAATTTGAATTTTTTGTCAGTCTTACTTTTGATGTAGCTATCCCCAACATATTGATGAAATAATCAGAATAAATTTCAAAAAAATACTAAATTTGCGATTAAGGTATCCAAACGATAAATAATTGACATAATAACTATCCTATCTTTTAAGTTAAGCCAAATTAGTGATAAATGTGAAATTTTATGAAAATAGGTTCAGAAGTTTCGGAGTATATCGAGGACAAACATCATGACACAATTTCATACTTTTTATAGCCTTTTTATAGGCTTGGCAGACCCCACAAAGTATATATATTATTGATCAGGATGAGAAGCCGAGTAGATATAGCCTTGTCCGTCCGTCCGTCTGTCTGTCCGTATGAACGCAAGGATCTCAGAAAGTATAAGAGCTAGAATAACCAAACTTGGTTTCCATATTCTCCTAAGACCGAGAAAGTACCCCACTCCCCCGCAATTCGTGTTTTTTTTTTTATAACTTCCGTAATTCTCGGAATTTTGAAATCAATTTTGGTAGGTACATCCAGTTAGTACTAATGTGTCCGTGTGCCAAATTTCATCATGATAGTTCAATTCTGAAGAAAGTTATAGCCATAAGTAAAATCGCTGCTCATGCGCTGCCTGCAGCTCTGTCGGCAGCGCTGCCCGCAGCTGTTGTTGTTGTTGCTGCTTTGGTTCAACTTTGTGCTGCATACATACACGCATATAAACACGCATAGGTACGTGATGTAAATGTATGCTGTTAAAACTGAACATAAACATGTATTCTAATTTAATTTAATTAATTATTTTAATTAATTCATTCATTCATTTTTTTAATAATTTAATTTTTTTTTTAATTTTTCTTTTTTGTGGAGAGTACAGGCTATTTTACTGTCGGGCTTGCTCGACTGTAGCGTTCTATCTTGTTCTCCTTGAATTAAAGGGTTTTAACATTTAGAACTAGCCTAGGATTACATTATTGTTTTAAATTTACTCCATAGTTGCTTTTTAGTAAAAATGTCACATGTTTATAAAACATAAATGATACCCTTAGGCTAACTTTTAGGTATAAACCATTTTTATACCCTGTACCCGTAGGGTAAAAAGGGTATATTAAGTTTGTGCAAAGTAACATGCAGAAGGAAGCATCTCCGACTCCATAAAGTATATTTATTCTTGATCAGCGGGACGAGTGAAATCTATTAAGACATGTCCGTCCGTTCGTTTGTCTGAATAAACGCCTGGATTTCGCAATATCTAAACAGTTAACTAGTTTTGTTTCAAATTTCATCCAAATTGTTCAATTATAAGAAAAGTTATTAGCAGGTACAGGGTATTTCACTATCGGGTTTGATCGGCTGTAGCGTTCTCCCTTGTTTTACAAGTGGCATCGTGATTTACTAGTTGAATGAACACAAAAATGTTTTCTTTAAGTATCTCACGTAAACAATAGATGGCGCTAAAAATAAGTAAAAGTATGCAACATAAAACAAGAATGGAATACTGGCGTCGAGCGGGTCTCGAGCAATCAGTCCAACGCACTAGCGACGGTTGCGCCCAAGACCCAGGAAGAGAATAATAGATTTAACTGTGTTCTATAGATGTACTCGTATACTGAACCATTCTTGCATTCCCCATTGGGGGGAGAAGTTCATTGAAAAAATGTATTCAAAGGAGATTTATACTGAATATATTGGATATTGTAGCTTTCATGATTCTCATACGTACATACATACGAGTCCATATATGCAAAGTTACAAACTTAACTCGAAGCTCAGTACTGGGGAAAGATTGCTTTGACTTAACTGTGTAATGCATACATAACCAAACATAGACACACCTAAACATGCATAGACACACACAGACAATCCTGATGGAAATTTATGTTATTGAAGCTGTTCAGTAATATATTTTGGGAGCGGGTACAGGGTATAAAAGAAACACTAGAGTTCCGACAAAACGACATAGAAGTCTCAGCGGAAAAATGAAACTAGAAGACAAGAGAAGAGATATGTCGTTACAATCAAGAGCGTAGGCAAAAAATGTTGTTCATTATTATGACGCACTATTTCGACTTAAAATCGATCTGAGTTGGATTTGTTGAAGTTTTTTCATTGATCATATGCATAAGTTATTTTCTAATTGCATTATTTAATCAAAAATTTAATTTTTTGGCCCCTCCTTTGGTTAAAGCTGCCCTTGGTTACAATTATGTCGCTGTGCCTGGCGGAACACAGATTTCAATTATGGCAATAATATTATTAATCAATTATCAAATTGAGAATTGACGTGAGAACGAACAAGCTCTAGAACCGTGCTCGTTGCCGGTTTTTTCGCACACCTTTGACTTTTAAACAGGAACAGGTATCTCAGCAAAGAGAATAAATATGATGGATGTTCGACTATAGTTTGAAAAGGTTTAGGGTTAGAAACGCTAAAGAAGAAAAACGAGCTTTTTGTATGATTATTGCGCAAGTTATAAGCTAAATTTCGTAGTAAATAATTTAAGTGCGGTAACAGAAATAGAAATCATAATAGCTACAATTGAAGATATAATACATTTTTGTTGGAGAATTGGAACCAGCCTAACACAGCTTTAAATAAGAAGGGTATTCAGAAGCGGAGAACAACTTGTCTTGGAATCACAATGCGGGAGTGAGTTTAGTGTGTAGGAAGCAAGTTTAGTTATAAAGTGAAATACTCGTACATTTGAAATAGTGCCGAGGCCCTTTTATAAATGGTCTGAGCCTGAGCTTGGAATCGTTACCGCCGTAAAAAATTTGTACAAAGTAGACGTCCATAAAAAAATGTACGGTGCGAATTTGGTTTTGATTTATTAGCGACCGTGCTGAAGTGGATCTGATTTGTACCAAACATAAACAATTTGTTGAGGCGGGCGCCCGCGCTAAATCTCCTAAGTCACCTATCTGTAGAATACGTCGCACTTGAACGAATCCACATCATAAACAAAGGTTAAATATTTATGTAGATTATCGTAAACTGAACAGCATGGTGTTACATGATCGCTTCCCTCTTGTCTAAGAATCTTAAGCTGTTGGTGAAGCCAAATGCCGTCGACTCTCGTTAAATCAAACCTGCGATAATTCGAACCTCTCTATAATTCAAAATTATCAGGAGTTCCCTGCAAAATCTCTTTATATTTTGAACTAAATAAATACAAGTACATTTTTATGCACTTGGTAATTCGAACTGAAAAATCATTGCTATGTAACTAAACGACGCGTTAATTCGAACTCATCGGCGTCCAGCACTCGACAATTCAAAGTTGCATAGAGACAGAGGCGGAAAGATTGTATGTAAGTTCATTTTGCGACAAGATCAAACTTGTATCAACGTACAGGTGCTAGTCCCGCCCGTCGCGCCGCACTTCATACCGCCAAGCCGACCCAAAAATCGGTAACTGTTTTTTTATGATTGTTTGGATATTTGACACACACTTCACACTGTTACTGTTACTCTTTTGATATTGTTTTAGAATAGCAGTAAATAAATAATATTTGAAGTTTTATTTATTTTCTCTCACAAATTTCGAACCATTTAATATTTCAAACTCTCGATTATTCGAAATATTTTAAAAGTCCCTCGAGTTTCGAATTGACAAGAGTCGACTGTATATTCATTCATAAATACAACAACACAATACAAATCTGTCATAGAGCAGCAATTCAACTGGTCATTAAGAGACCAATCCAAATAGAATAGAATATATCTCAATTCTTCTTTCCGACAATTTTAAAGCTATAGCTGATAGCTAATTCTGCCTTTATCATTTAGCTG